GCTTGTATATACGACAGTTTACGATTTGAAAAATTATCAAGAGGTTATAAAACAGCAAAGGTAAATAAACGTGCGATGCGCGATGTCTGATAATAATAAAAATTGAATTTCTACAAAATATCCTAGCGGTGTATAGTCAAAAACCGACGACGGAAGAAATGACAATGTTCAATACTTATATTTCGTTTTTGTAATATACTTATTTCGAAGTGTCGTTCTGCTATTATTAAAAACCCTTGGTTATAACGGATAAAAATAAATGATAATTAATTATCATTAACAATTCCGATCAGCTCTGCGACATGAGAAAGGTCATTCTCAGCAATGAGGAAGATTAAAAATTGGCTTCGAACTTCGATGAATCAAGATAGATTTACCAATTTATCAATAATTTATATAGAACGAGATTTGTCAAATGACTTGTCTAACGAACAAGTTTTGGATAAATTTGCAATCGACGGTTACAATTATAATATACCTAAAAAAATATATGTTATGTTTTTAAATACCTAAATATTGTTATTTGTTTTAATATAAATATTCTTAGTTTTATGAATGGATCCATAATTTATGCAGGAAAACTGGTGAGATAACTATGATTTTGGTATTTGAATGGGAGGTGTGGGGGGCAGATGTGGATCTGTTTCATTTAAAAATATTGAGTCCTTCCAAGTTAAAAACTGAATTTGCGCCTATGCTGTACGTGCATGAAGAAGTTAAATAAACCATTTACGTAAAAGTGCAGGAACAATTTTAACAAAACCTACAAAACTCAATCCCAGTATAAGCCCCGTGACTGCAGATTTGTTGCTTAGTAATGCTCCTGCAGAACACCTTTCACGTGGCCGACACTCAGAAATTGAATTGATCTTATCCAGTGAAATTTCTGACAACGGTCCTTGTTTCAAAGCAATACATTTTTTAGTTATCGGTGAAAATAAATTTCCCGTCAGTGGGAATCTAACCGAACTATGGTTCAATGTTGCGAAATAACGCTGAGGAAATGCGCCATCGGCCTCACCGAACGTAAGCGGTGCGTTATTGGCGGTGATATCGTGGCAATCGGAAGTGATAATCGAACCGCTACCGGATTCCGGACTGCCCGAATCGGCCGATGATTCGATCGCGGGCTGAATCAAACCTTCATTTACCTCTTCACTGTACTCGGTTATATAGGAAGTGCCATCTTCGTCGTCGGACACGTCTGGTTCTATTGTACTTATAGAGTTTATTTTGCTAAGCATTTCCAACAACATATCCCTTGTCACGAAGTAAGTCTATTGATTATTGATTTTAACATGCGTTATTATCGATTGCGCAATTTATAATGTTATTTAAATTTTTATACAAATGCGTATTTTACCTCCGACAGTTTCGGTGCCACCAACGGCAAGAGGGCGCACAAGCATCGGACTTGTACTTCACAACTGTGTTCATTCACCAGATCGTTTACAAAGGACCATACTATTTCTTTGGGATAAACTCCGAATTTGAACAGTTCGTCTATGAACCTATAAAACGGCAACACACATAAATAATATGGAAAATAATGTAAAACATTCTCGGTGTATATTATATTTCTAAATGTTGACAACTTACTGACAATTCGTTACGATTTCATTGATCCGGCGNTCCGAGTATTGTCTCGTCTAAAATAAGATTATAGAGTATTTTTAATATAGTTTTTATACGGGAATCGGAATTTAATATAAGATTTTGTGTCGGTACCCAGTGGCCGGTGTTGTAAAAAATAATTTTGAAAATTATGTGCGGAAACTATTTTAGACACTTATACTGAGACTCAAAATTTATTCCAATACTTATAAATAAACAGTATTTTAAAATACGTATTAAATTCTTGGAAAATAATTGAAATACCAATACACTTATATACTTTTACTTAAATGCTTAATAACACTGTCGGTACCTCGGATATCTTGCAACATTTTTTAAGATCATCGTAACATTTTGGTAGC